AGCGCTTTGAGGGCCTTGAAAAGCGCTATATAAATGCAATTCATTATTATTATTACTTGCACAATTAAAAAATAAGTAAAAGTAAAAATTGTACTAAGTGACAAATTAAAGCTAAAACGTCACATCTTGACCGTCTGATTTAGAATCCATAAGATGGTGTAAAGACTAAATTAAGTCTAAATTATAAACATTTTGTCACTGTCTATAAACTTGTCGACCTAACTGTATATGCCCCTTCCTGAGAATTGTCTGTCAGCACTATTCTCCAGTCTCATTGGCAATCACTTCCATCAATAACTTGGTACCAACCCACTTAATTTCTTATATCATAGTCCTGCTAAAGATAGTCAAGGTCTTTATGCAGCAGATGAATTAAGACATCTAAGCAATGGTCAGCATGCTCTACCTCCAAATACTGTTTGTATAACTAAGCATTAACTTATATTATGCCACTGTGAGCTTGCAGTTTCCTAACTACAGGGTGGGCCATTTATATGGATACACTGTAATAAAATGGAATTGTATCCATATAAATGGCCCACCCTGTTTATCACATTAACACTGGTAACTCTCAAATTGTGGAAATAATTCAAATAAAGAAAGGTTATACATCACAGAGCTAGAGGACACATTGACTGAGGTTCATGCAGACACCATCCCGGGACTGAATGTCATGTGTTCTCATTTATTTGTCGCTGCACTACCCAGCGAGGGACCATAAAAATAAAATGAGACACCTGTCTGACCAGCACCCAAGGTTATGCGGGGCTCCTACAATAACAGAAGGTCACCGTATAAGCCTGAGGCTCGTCACTCGCCCTTGGTACTATTAACCAATAGCAATAATGGGATTTGGAGAAAATCCCCTTTATGCCAAAGATCTGGAACAATCTGTGCGTCACAGCCCTTACCCAACATAAACGCATGTCTCCTTTGCCCGGACGTGACCGCCATATAATTACCTGTCAGTCAAAAGCAGCTGGATGACATTGATAGGTGAACTGCAGCTCAAGGCCACAGACTGAGGACGTTACCCTCTAATAGAGAGCGTTTCTTAACATAGCCAAAAGAATGAAACAGTGGGTGTTTTCCATTAAAATTAAAGCTTTTGCGGAAACATTTCACTGACTCTGGAACTGATTATGTATATAATGCAAAGTATGGTGTGGGTCGCTGAAATCAGAGAAATTATCCGGAAGCCATTCTTTCGCCATAATTATGCTTGGTTTGGATACTTGATTGTTCCAAGCGCTGCATAGAGAGATGTTTTTTTCATGTTGGTACTTCAGGAACATAAAGCTTTGAGGTTATTAGCTTATAGCAGGAAGCAGAAAGAGTGAAAGCAGCTGTGCAACAACAAGTGCAACATATATCTGAATAGACTGTTACTTATGTAGCTAAATAAGAAGATACAGTAAATTGCATGAATTAGTATGCTTCATAGGATAGTCGGGCTTGCTGTTGTGATTGCTAAATGTTAGCTTTTCCCTCATTTTGGACATGTGACCATGTAGGGTCGAATTAATAAGCCTTCAGTTACATAGTCCTACTATTTGACAACCATTGCTCACTGGGAAAAAGTGTTCCTAGATTGGATGGCAAAGGTTTGCCTCGACAGTATAAGTTCCACTTTTTCAAACTTGTTGGCAACAGGGCTTTTACTTTGAAGGTGAATGGTCTGCATTTCCAGATTATGTTGAACTTTTTGTTACTGCTGCTTGACTAGTATTTGGTGTGCGTTTGCAGAGAAGTTGGTATGTTCTATGCAAAATACAAATTATACATACAAACATTCTTGTCAGCTGTGTCCTCATGTGTCTCCTCATCACCTCATGTGTGTAGTTAAGTCCTCCGTCTTCCTGTGCTCAGCGTCGCATTGTCTGTGTTACCTTCCCTACCCCTTGTCACAGTTTCCCAGTCAAGTCATAGTCATAGTTTCCCAGTTTATGTTCAGGTTTTCCCTCAGTTTAGCCTTGCTGTATTTTCGTGACTTTCAGCCCTAAATAAAGGCTCACTTTTCGTTAAGTCCACTTTTGTCTCCTCGCCTCTGTCTGCACTTGGGTCTTCTACTCTTGCAATCAACACAATCACAGGGTAGTTTTTTGTGTAGCACCCTCTTTGCGATTAGTTTCACCCAGAAGCAGCCACTAACCTCATGACACGACTCTCCAACTCGTCGAGGAACGCATAGTTTTCTCTCATGACCAGTTATTGTGTCTAAGGAAACATGCGCCTGATGTCACAAGAGTAACCTCTTAATCGAAACTCATGGTCCTTTGTCTTCACTTTCACAGAGAAGATGTACTGTAGGATATCATAAATGTGTGCCTCTTCATAGACCAAAGGACAATTACACTTTGGGACTTCCAGAACAATTACTGGCCATAAACTCTGATTTGAGACAATCACTGTTGTTAAATGTCAAAAGTCTAGAAAGTTATAATTTGAGGCTTTAAGAAACACTCGTTTTACTTTAAGTGTACTTTTTATCTTGACTCTATTTGAAACCATGAAGCTTGAGCTCTAATCCTCACTCCACTCCTGTTTGTCTTCTTGACAAACCGCTTCTTTTAGGCTTAAAACAGGTCACTGCAGTCGAGTCATAGAGGCAGGAAGTCAAAACAGAGGCTGCAGGGAAGAAGAGGAGAAATACAAACAGAGACCACCTTCCAACCCAAACAGTCACACACGCGCTGGCTGAAAAGCAGCGGATAACAGCAGAACTCCACTGTCTCAAAGGCTCGACTCATGCGTCAATAGTCGGGCTGCTGTGACGCCTCTGTCATGCCGGACAGTTTGGGGCGGGGGAGGCAGGGGTAGAGCAGCAGGACTGTCAGATACATTGTCCGCTGAAGAAGAGCAGCAGTGATTCGCTCGTGCTTTATTACACTGAGCGACACTCAGAGAGAGAGAGAGAGCCACACAGCATCATTTTTCACTAAGCAACTCAACAGCTGACGGCAAAAGCATTCACTATACCAAATGAATGCTTAGAGGTGATGCTGCAGTGTGCGTGACACCATTATTAAAACCAAATGGTGGGGTGGGTTGTTGGTTGTGTTGGTGACTGAGTATGTTATGATGATTTGACAGAGTGCTAGCTAACAAAATGCCAGTCAATAGAGGAGATGTGTGGATTTCATACATGGGGTCAGTACTACTGTATAAACCCACGTGTGGTTTTATGCAGACGTCTGTGCAGCATCATGAACGGTCAGCATATTAAATCAGAATCATTAATCACCACTGACACTTGTTTGTTTTTCTCTTAGTTAGCTTGTCATTAGTCATGGTGATGAGTTAATGCTAATTCTCTTGAAAGCAATGCAGGAATACTTTCAAACAGAGGCAAGCATCAGTGCCACTATCATTCAATAGACAACATGTCTATTGTCACACACTAATTAGTCTATTCTAGGGCAAACCCAAACAGTGTAGCAAGGGAGTAAGGGTAGCACGCAACTGGGTTACAGGCTAAAAACTGAAAGCAGGTTTTGTAGCACATCTATGAGCAGCCAGCATGCAGGGAGGCTATTGTTTGTAATGTTCATCTCGCCCACTTCGCTTTTAGGAAGACAGATGGATTTTGTGCTAATTTCATCCAACTTTCCCTTCCATTGGGTCTGGCTTTTGATCAATGCACCTTCATTTTAGCAAGAACTGTAGCAGTTCTGTGAAGTTTGACGAACATCTGCTTATTATTACTGTTACAGCAAGATATTAATATGGGTAGAAAACTAATTATTTATAATTTACTCAAACATATACTGTATACACTATATATTTGGGTGTAATCTTAATCCATATTCATAAATCAAATATAGTGATCAATAAAGTAACTGATTTGCTTGGTGGCTGACCTGTGACTACCTTACTGTAACCAACAAAAACCTCTATGATCACATTGATTCTGTTTTAACCAGTGCAGTTTTGCATATTACAGGGGGGGAAAGTAAAAGATACAAAAGATGCACTCACTGACTGAAAATATAACTTGTTAAAGAATTTTTTCTTCAACACTTTGGAGCAGGGGTGCCCAATCCCAGTCCTCGAGAGCTACCGTCCTGCAGCTTTTAGATGCATCCTTGTTCCAACAAACCTGAATCAAATGAATGGCTTGTTATCTGGCCTTTGCCAAACTTGATGGCATGCTGAAGAGGTAATCAAACTATTTGATTCAGCTGTGTTGGAGTAGGGATGCATCTAAAAGCTCCAGGACGGTAGCTCTCGAGGGCTGGGATTGGGCACCCCTGCTTTAGAGCACTTTAATGATAGAGTAGCTCTGGTGTGAAAAAACAATATTTTAATGCCTGTACTACAGGCAGAACGTGATCTGGGATTGTCCATCCATTTTCTTCTGCTTATCTGAGTTCAGGTCGCGGGGGCAGCAGTCAAAGCAGACTCGCCATGGCCACCTCTTCCAACTCATCTGGGGGGGGGGGCACACCGAGTCGTTCTCAACCCATCCAAGTTTTAGTGAGGGAGAAACGTATTTAATCCCCTTTTGACCAGCAAGAATTTGGATCAAGTAAATTATCGAACAAAAGTTTCATTGGCAAGTATTTAAGGATTAGGACTGCACAATTAATCAGAGTTTAATCTCAATCACGATTTTGGCCTCCCACAGTTAAATTAACATGACTGAGCGATACCGAAAATGGAAAGCAAAAGTAAATCGAGTGCTCCCTACATCAGCGCCTCACCACAAGTCTGCATGTGCCAATCACAGCTGTTCCCTGCACTGCACTGCTTGTTTCCTGTCTGGACGAGTAACACTGTATTCAAAGACAGATTATGCAACAAAATTCAAATGTCTGCCACAGAAGAAGGCAAAGAGCTGGAGCCTAGAAGACTTCAGAAAAATGGTCAACGTACTGAAAAAAGATGTTATTCCCTCCCCAACTAAGTGACAAAACATGTGCAGTACACAAAACAGGGGTAGATAGGTCAGGTACTTTACTTTGAGTTTTATTTACATCAATAATGAATTTAGTAAGGCCTTTATTTTATTTCTTTGCTTTCAGATGTACTTAGGCCAATTGAAGAAATGCAGTGTTCGCCTCCAAAGAGGTTTTAATTAACAGACATGTAGCACACTGCAAAACTGAAAGCACTCCCCTGTCAATTTCATTTTGTGTTATGTTTTAGTACAATTCTTTTTATTTATGTTTCTTATTTTCCTTCTAAGGGATGCACTGAATTAAGAAGACTGAGGAGGACTAATTTTATTTTTGTCAGGGGCATTTTGTGTTATGTTTGAATTGTTGATTTCTTATGTTAATATCATGTGCTAAAGTTAAAGTAAAGTTGAGGTAATTTGTATTACTTAGGAGATAACACTAAGAGCTAGTATTGTTATTAGTTTGTCTTAGTTAGTTATCCATGTCCCCTGGTTTATGTGTCATGTTCACTGTTGGGAAGGTTACTTTTCAAATGTATTCCACTACAGATTACAGATTACAGATTACATGCCCCAAAATGTATTTTGTAACGTATTCAGGTAAGTTACTCAATGAGAGTAACGTATTCTGAATACTTTGGATTACTTAATATATTATCATGCTTTTTACAAGTACATGAATGTACTATTGCTGTGTGATCTATTACCATTACTGAAGGTTACTCTCCATACCAATACCAACTAGATGTTTAAATCTTAATATAAAATGAGTAACAGTCGGGTGGACATTAGGTAAGACTGCACTTTATTTATTTATTTTTTTAAAATCAAATTTAAACAATAGACTGTTCACTTCTTTATAAACCGTTTAAATTATGAATTCAGAAGGAGTTTCTTATTTTGCTGACTGTAAGCAAACAAAATTAGCTATAAATTAAGTTACAGAACAAATGAAAAGATAACAGAAGTTTGTTGATCATGTCGAGTTTGACAGTGGAGGTTTTTAACATGACCGTTAACAGGGCCGGTAGTCTTAGCGCTGACTGTGAAATTCATCAACAAGCCATATGACCATTTTCTTAGACAACACAGAACAAATACAAACAAACAAACAAATGGCCGACCCATGACTCACAATAGGAAATCAGATTAAAGCTCACAGCACTGAAAAAGAGAGCTTAAGACAAGAAAAGATCATTGGAAATCCCACAGACTGTAAAGGTCTGTGTCCATCAGTCCATCAACTCAGCTGGTTGTATTTTGGTTATGTTCCTATATAAAAGCAAGGTTGCTGTGTGTAATTCTGCAGTTAAATCTGCATTTTGCAGCAACTACGTCACTATTTGTGGAGGAATTTCTGTTTCAGATCTATGAGCTTCTTAGTCAGTGTGAATTTCTGTCGATGCAGAAAGCAACCGATTTGTTATTTGGGCTAATTTGTGAACGTTAATTGCTGTATCATCAACAGACTGCAAGTAGCTGCCAACTTGACTCCATTCAAACTGATAGCACACTGACACCACCTAATTATCGCCATCTTGATGCACCAAATTGTGGACCTGGTCTTTAAATAAACCATTTCAAAGGCAAAAACATCATAAGTTTGTTCCATACTGGTGCAGTCATTTTGTGACTTAGTGTGACTGTAGCTGTCCTGGTCCAGGATCAGTGACCAAGGGTTTTGTTGTTCATTTCATCATGATTTATCATTGCTAGTCTCTTGGTTTGTGTTGTGTATTCTAGCTGCCTAAGTTCTTTAGTATTTCCAGATTTCTAATATTTAGGTTTTGTTTATGTGCCTCCCCTGTTTTCCATGTTTTGTCTGCTCTTAGCTTTCCTGTCCCACGTTTCAGGTCTCTGTGTTCTCTGTGTCTATCTTGTCATCCTTGCCTCTGCATTCGTGTGTTTCCTGTTTTACTTTGAAAGTCTGTGCCCCATGTCAGTGTATTCTGCTTTGCTTCCTTTGTCTCGTTATGTCAGATTAGCCCCAGCTGTGCTTCCTTCCTGTTTTCCATTCCCTCGTTACTCCCTGGTCTGTTTTCCTCTGTGTTTTCAGCCATTTCCTAGTTACTGGTCCTGGTTTGTTTCCAGTTTAGTTTTGTATTTGAAGTAAGTTATTTACGGCCAAAATAAAGCTACCTCTTTTAGTTTACGCTTTCGTTTCTGAGTCCTGTGTTTGGGTCCTACATCCTTCCTTCCACACAGCAAATCCATGACAGAAGCATTACAAGAGCGAATGGGAAGTAATGGAAAATCACTGGGCTTGGCATTCCTGAACTGAGCCAGTGGTTTAGGCATTTTAAAAAAAAGAATAATTTACTCAGGAAACGCTTGTCATTAGCAACTACAATAAGGAGGGCATCTTTCCCCATCTGATTAAAAATGTTTATTTCAACCACACGTGCAGTATTACTGCTTGTAACTGCTTTTTGAGCCAAACATATTTTAGAGAATTACTGTAAAGAGGTGAAAATAAAATAGAATGGGAAACTTTTTGTTTCCCGTAATCACCGCGTGCTGAAGCATCGCCTTGTTGTGTTGACTGAATAGATGCTCCAGCTCTGATTGCTCCATTGGCATGAAGGCACCAAATAAACAGAGAGAGAGAGAGGAGCAGAAAGGCAGTGCAGCATGAGGGCTGTGTGAAGTCTACATACCGAAAACTGTGCGCGCTGGGACTGATTCTTTATTTATCCAGAAGGACACTTGGGAGAGGATTACTGTCATTATGCAGGGGATATACGTCTGAATCATGAAGTAGCCCATTTTACGTTTCAAGTGGAAGTAGACCGTCATGACCACATATTCACCTGGGGGATCAACAGAAATGAATTAGTTTCATTAACAAAGAATTTGAAGTTGCAGGCTGACAGATTTCATTAATGCAGCTCCAGACAGATGTCACATTTGATCTGGTTTTCTCCCCTCACTTCTACATTGTGTCCATTTGCACTCTGTTGTAGCTTTCTGCTGCTAAAATCTTTTTTTTTTTTTTTGGTGTGGTGTGGGGGGCTTTTAGTATTTTTGTGAGCCAACTGGCTCTGAAATGTCTCAACGCATGATGTTTGAGGGTTTCATTTCACAAGACTGTGTGCTAGCCATGGTCCAGTAGACCCACTGTCATGTCTGTGCAAGTGTCAAAACTCTATATCCCCCCAATATGCGACGCCCAAATCTGTCTTGTGGAAACACAGTGTAGACTTGGCAAATCTTCCAAGTATGATTCAATATAATGCGCTCAGACAGATGTGGATCTTTTCTTTTAATAAAAAAAGCTGACTCTTTTGTAAAAGTGATAAATGAACAGCAGTGTCCCATTATTCCTCAAGCGTTCACTGTAACTCGGTTGATAAAGCAGGACGGTGAAAGGATGAGCAAATCTCACCTGTGATAGATTTAATCGTTTCACTGGAGACCGTCTGGCCAATGAGATCATACTGAACGAGGCTGGAGGACTCTGGAGGGACCTCCACTGAATGCTCAGGCCCTTTGGTCCAAGTATAGATCATCTCCGTTTTAGGATAGGCATCTGTGGGCAGACAGCAAAGCCACACCAACATGAGTCACTGACTGTAAGCTGTGAGCAGTGCAGCAGAAAAACATAAGATGCTCAGAAGAAAGCAGCTCTTTGTATACTGTAAACTGTCCATATGTGTGCAGGATTTTACTTTGATATTCAATAATAATTGAAATCATCACTGTAGATTTCTTCTTGTCACCATCCAGCTGTTAATAGCACCTTTTCCCCATTACCACTTTTCTCCTGTTTTCCTTTGGGTTGCCATTCTTCACACTGTTTGTATATGTGATAAATGCTACATCCTCTAGCACTTCTGCTTTTGCTTCTCAGATAATGGGGTTGCTATTCCTGGAACAAATTCTGCATATTGTTATGTAAAAGTGCATTAAACCAGAAACCATTAGGAACAAGCTACACATTAGTTATTTTGTCTGTTGTCAACTGTTGTGGAAATTGCTGCTAAACTTAAAACGTCTGCATTTATTGGGCCGGTGCAACAACACAAGTTTTCATTTACTAGCCAGCTTTTACCCGGACATCATTTTCCTGGTCACGTGGCTGCTTACGGTTAGGTTCATACGTTTTTGGAGGGATTATGTATAAAAATGGCCATAATTCCAAAGTACTGAATCCAGTTATTTTGTTTGAACTTGAACTCAAAAATCCGAGATGAATTTGTTGCAGACTTTCAGCTTTTAATTCCACTGTGTTGATGTACAGAGGCAAAATTATTATTGTGTCATTATCCACAAACCTGTGGATCTAACTGTATGTAGCACTTTTTTACTCAGAGCGTTTTTATTCCAAGCCTTTTATTCTAAAAGATGCTTGGGCAGGTTGGGAGTTTGTTATCTTGCTCAAAAGCACATCAGTATGCTGACTGGAAGAACTGGGAAGTGAACCAACCTTCCCATTAAAAGACAACCTCTACTTCCTTGGTGGGTTGGTGTAGTGAAACTAAGTTGAATTAATATATTTTATATGCAGCATGTATTATATTGCCTTTATTTTATTGCCTACATTTAAAGAAAAGACAAATTGATAATAACTGTTATTTCTACAGTTGTTGCTTTGTCTGTTGATAAGGGTTCAACGGTAACTTTATTGTCCCCAATGGGAAATTGATTTGCATGTCCACACATGAAACAATACAAAAAGCAAACAAACACACACACAAAAAAAGATTAACGTTAATGTTAATGTTTAAACATATTATAATAGAATAATAATTGATTAATATAATAAATATTTTTAAGTAGGATATGTTATAGATAATTCAATTAATTAAGTCGTGTCCAATATTCCTACATTTGAGGTCTTTAAAGGTTCCTGTTAATAAAGTTGATATTCTTATTATTAGATTCTACTAGAGTAGCTTTGCATGACTCATAATTAAAATCAATCCCTATTTGTCTTACACTGGGCCTTAGTGCTGCCCCTCAGTTCATCCTGTGTCTGAAATGAAAATTTGGAGGAACTGATTGGCTGATTGGTTGCCCCTCTCAAAACAGAAAAGAGCAGTTGGGTGGGGCCTCAAATGTCCCTGTTACACTCAAAATATGTTTCTTCACCCTTAATAAACACGAGACAATCATTTTGAGTAAAATGCAACTAAAATATGCAGAGTGTGTAACAAATGTATTAGATCACCATCCTGTGTGAGGTTTATGCCTCATCTGCGCTACAGTAACAGTAGTAAATTGGTAATCACCAAAGTAAATTTTTATGTTTTGTATGTACTGTTTTACGAAAAAGCAGAAAAAATGTATTTTTACAGTTATTTGCTTGTATTTCTGAACAGAAAAACATTTTAGTGGCTGAATGTTATGCTCAATTTATTTAGTCTCAGAGAAGTTCAGTGTGCCGGCTCAAATTTACATATGAAAATGTAAAGTTTGTCAAAAACATATATTTTTGTTTCAAACAGGTTTTATGACAGAAGGTGTAAGAATGTAGACAGTCCCCTCCAAGTGAATACTGCTGCTAATTATTAATTTTTCTCTAAGAACTGGAAAAAAATCAAAACAAAAACAGACAAGAAGTCTCCACCAAAAACTTTTCACTAATAATTTTTTTATTGGTTCTACCAGATTGACTCATCATCTCACCTCCACTCAAGCATGAATAATTCACTAATCTGCATAAAGAAAATGATTCCAGTGCAGGTTTTACAATCTATTTTGGTAATTGTGGACCACACCATGACATCAGAACAAATGAAAGTAAAAATATATGATAACAGTAAAACTGTCCAATTAGTAAAGACTCAAGCTGCCACTTTGTGGCTAATTAAAGTTGTAACAGTCACACATTATATTACAAGTTTGTTTATGCCCCGTTGTTGCTTCCCCTCTGTTTTATTTTGTTTTTTGTGCGTTTTTTTTTTCTTTCTTCGCTGTATTCTCACTGGCGAGGTTGACCAGAGTGCGAATGCAAAACAAAATGCCAGTTGTCTTGGCCTGCCACTCCCTATGGGACTCCATATCGGCGGGATACCAACTGTGCTGCCAAAATGAAATGACTCTGGTGTGTCATGGAGTGGAACGCCGTGCCTGTGCACACAAGTCCAGATGGAGAAACAGAAAAAGGAGACGCGAGAGGAGAGAGAGGGGGAGAGATGGAGGAAAAATGAAGGCAGGGCAGACAGCGAGAAAATTAGCACGCAGGCACACATCGACGCGCACACATGCACCGGCTATGGAAAATAGCTGCATAGGTCTGCGCTATCCTGAGGCAGAGGAAGGGATTCTGACCTTTCCCTCGCTTCAGGCCACATCAGATCCATGGTTGCTTCCTCCTGACTGGAGGCTAGCAGCAGCAGCACAGGATGGTGAAAGGACGGGAGGAGGGGGGATGACAATAACCGAGGAATGTGAATTTGTCCTCCGCAATGTCACCAGATTGGGTAATTGACAGCGGGTGTAGAGGCAAACTCGTTGTCTTTTTTCCTCTCCTTTCTCTTGCAGATGTAATCTTCAAATCGCTGCTGCTCTCTGATAAGACGCAGCTGCTCGTTTTTTGAGAAGCTCCTTTATTTGAAATAAGTCATTTCTGCTGACCAGTGGGCCCACTGTGAACACTGTTGCTGAGTTGGGCGTTTATTGTTCATGATGAAGAATGAAATGTTTCATTATTAACTATAGCATTTAGTCGCTTTCTGCTCAGCTCTTTAGCGCTCCTTTTCAGCACAGCATCCATTTCAGTATGAAAGTGGCTTCATGAACTGAGCTAGGACAATATTTTCTTTGTCTTACCCTTCCACTGGTGTTTTCTCTTTTGTTACCCACTCTGCTTAGTTTAGATTCAAATTCAGTCGAAACGCTCTTATTTGGTTGTTTATAAAGTGGTCACGCTATCCTAACCAACTGCTACACAGCAGCTGTACCGGCCGAGGAAGCATGGCGTCCTGAAATAGAATCACACTATTCATCTTAGAATCCAGCTTTTTTTGTCCTCTAAATAAAGTCACTTCAATTGTGATAGAGTGGAATACAACTGATTTACAAAATAATCATCCAGGTAACTCACATCAGATCTTTGCTGCGTATTACACGCTCATTACACTGCCACCTGTTTTAATGTGCAAGTTTATCTGAGTTACAAGAAGTAAAGAACCAGAAGTGGGTTGTTTGCTTACACTTCTACTGTACTCTTGTATGTTTAACTCAAAAAGTAATTTAACAAAATTGACTTACTCCAGTATTTTACATTGCTGTGACATTTTCTTCATTTTTGAGTTGATGAAACTGATTATTTTTTAATTAACTGGAAGTATTTTGATGGTTTACTTTCCATTTTAAAATGATCATTTCAGAGTGCTTTTTCTTTTGTGTACATCTGCCATAGTGTGCAGCTGTTCTTTGGTATTGCAAAGTCCAAAGTGGGAGTGCTGGTGAAATTCCAGGATTTCAGCTTTAGATTAAAAATGTTAACTAATATTTTCTACACTCTCTGTTACACTGAGTTACTCTGTGTCGAGTTACTCTGTGTCGAGTTGCTCAGGCGGCGTTTTGTTTATTTTTATGTTAGACTGTCAAACATGCAACAGAGTGAGAATACACAAGGACTGGATATTGATTGTGTTTAAATATCACTAATTGTTGTATTTAATTTTAAAAATTATACTTACATTACTCGCGTCTTCCCAAAGTAACAGACTTACAATGCTACAATGCTGTTATGTTATGTTATTACTCAGGTACAAATTTTCACTGGGATGATGACTTATTAATAAAATCATTTGACAAAACATTGAGGACGAACAGAATTCACAGTCTGATAAAATGATAGATTTTTTAAAACTTTGAGTCCTTTTCCTCATTCAAAGGCACTGCAGGAATATTAGAGGTTAACAGTAATCTTACATGCATGTTTGGATCACTTTGTCCTGTCAGACCTAATCAACAGCCCCTTCCTGTTTTCTCTCTTGCAGCACAGCCAGAACATTGAAAGGAGGCTCACTAAAATGGTACCATTTATTTCCTGTCATGATGTAGCTATATAAAAAGAAAATAAATCATCATGTCTTTCTCCTCATCTCAGCTTCTGTCTATTTAGTTTATATTTAAATAATACCATTAATATTAATAATAAATCCTATTGGATGGATGGATAAAATACTGACTTTGTACATATACCGAATTTCCCGGAGGAACCCACCCAAGGGATTAATAAAGTTTCATCTAATCTATCTACATTAGTACTCTACACTAAACTGTTAACTCCTGGTGTTGTAAGTGTTGTTCATCTATTTGCATATTTTTGCACGTTTTCAATAAGTTTACATTTGAAAAACGCTTTTTTATATGTCATATTGTTACTATTACTTCCACTTAATTTCCCACTTTTATAAACTATATATGTTGCAGTTGTAACAAAGCAACTGTGCAAACTGTGTGTCAATAAAGTTTTCTGATGCTGATGTCACCAAATCACACACAAAGAACTTACAGCTGCCAAACTTGAGGGGGCATGCATGTGCATCCATGGGGAAGTCCACGAGCTTCATGGGACACTCGGCGCTAATCGTCAGCCTGTTGCAGAACAGAGGAGAAGCGTTTGACTTAGGACCAATAACAAGGGCTTTCTTTTAAAAGGTACACCAAAAACTACTGCCTACATGGTTCTATTTGTTCAGGTATTTTAAAACAAACAAAGGTGGTTTTTCAATTGTTGCTATGCAATCATTGATTCTGCTGATCTTTATATAAAAAAGGCCAATTAATATCAAACAATCAACTGCTCTCCTGAATGAATGTGAAAGTTTGGCATGTGCACTACCTCCACACAGCTCTCTACTGTGTACACAGTGAGTTTTTGATTTCACAGGAAATCTCTTTCATTGCTTTATAACAAACAAAGTCTGTCATCCCTCCTATCCCATTTTAATGAGCAAAAAACACTAAAAAGAGAAAACAAATACATGAAGTGTAACTAACACAAGCAGGCTTTTTAGATGGATGCAAAATTAGAGCTGGCTGCAATCTGTAGATTGGCATATTATTCGAGTTAATATAAGTACCTCATGGTGTAGAGGATGGTGCCATTCTTCATGATGCGGAACAGCCTGTTGGGCGCCGTCATGTTGTGAGCGACGGACCTCTTGCCGTTCCTGAAGAAGGTGTCCGGTGTCCACACCTTTGTTACCATCAGGTTGTTCAGCCTGAGAATCTCTATTGGGCCCTCGTACATCAACCTCCGGTCAACCCACATCTGGCGAAAAAATACGTCCATTGTGTATTCCTAAGATGGGAAAAAAAGGACCAAAAATAAGACCAGCGGGAAGAAATTGCTTCGGTTTTTCATCAAAACATAAAGCAGGCTTGGTTGAGTGGCTCTTGGTTGAGCAAGATAGTCATTATCTTCAAGTATTGATCTCTGTGTCTTCTGTAGTTTGACACTCAATCTAGAATAAACCAAAAGAAAGTCATAAACAAACATGAGATAGGATAGGTACCATTTCAACGTCTGAGACAGGCCCAAAACTTGTCACATAAATGTCAGTCTTGACCTCAGTCACAGGACCTGTTGAGATAATGAAACAGACAAGTGTCACATTTAATGACCGTTTACTGGTGTAAATCCTTCAGTGTCGCAGTCATAAAAAGACAGGAGTCCTATTCATACTTGTTTAGCCAATCTAAAAGCCTTGCAGTAACTTATCTCTTCCAGAGCTGTAGCGCCTTTGTTGCTGTTTCCATTCTGTTCACTTTAAAGCGAAGCTGGTACGCCTGCATGTCTGAACATCTCTGCTGACAGGCTGCTTTACAACCAGCAGTGAGGCATCTCTTTGAGAAATATGGCCGTAGAAACCCAGAACTGTACTTTTAGAACTTGAACTGTGCATTAGGACGTTTGTGCGCTGACATACACACAATTATGTAACCACACTCACTCAAACGTGCCAGCTCAGAGGCCCGTCTTCAGTGGGCACAACTACCAGGCTTGTGCACAATTCAGCAGCGCTCGTGTTGTGATACACTAAACCACAAAGCAGTATGTTGCGTATGCAAATCACATAAAACATTGTAGAGAAAAAGGTCATTAAAATGTTGCCATAATTTTCCCATGAAAACATGTCATGCATGTCCTCAGCTTTCTACTTCCCCCATGCTGTTAAAGAGTTTCAGTAAGGCATTCATGCTCATTTGACAGTCTTAACCCTGCAATGCCGAGTGCATCATATTTGATAGATGGGTTTTAGAGACCTGTCATTTTTTCCCCCAAAAAAAACTAAAACAGCTGCATAGAAATGCCAGTCTGATACAAATCTGATGCAAATTACTGGGCTGAGCTGTCTACTAAGGTTGGTGGTTCGACCCCTGGCTTTTTCAGTCTTGGGCAGTTTCTTCATGGGCAAGAAACTGAACCTCAAGTTGCTCTCTGAGTGTTCACTGGTAAATGGTTACTGGACTAGTTCTTGTATAGCACTTTTCTACTCTACCTGAGCACTTAGAGCACTTTATGCAACTTGCCTCACCCATTCACACCCAAGCACATGCAAGCACTGTTTTTTCTTTGGTTAAGTGCTTTTTGTCTAACATTCATAGACAGACTCTATTGGATGCATCAAAGAGCAACTTGGGGTTAGCATCTTTCCCATGAAGACCGGAGCAGCCAGGGATCGAACCACCAACCTTCCTATTATTAGATGACGTCATTAGAGTGTGAATGTGTATGGATGTTAAAAAGAAAACACTTTGCCATAGAAAAAGAAAGGTGCTGGCATGAATGGGTATGAATGGGTTAATAAGGCATGTTGTGTAAAGTGCTCTGAGTGCTCAAGTAGCCGTCCATTTAACATAAAATTTCTAAGCTTCAATAAAAACCAGTTTCAAAAACTTGGAATTTTCTGCCAATTATTTCATGGTTCAGGCTGTAGACTGTTGTTGTTGCTGTGCAAATAAAAGTGCATATTTGTTTAATTATGGCACATTTGATGGTCATTTTATGGCTTTTTTCTTAGAAACGTGTTCTTCCTCCCCACCATCACCAAGTGCTTGTTCATAGATCAATGACATTCTCTCTCCACCCCTGCAGGAGCTTTACTTTACAGTATCAAGTGCCTTGAGATGACTGCAGCTGTGAGCTATATAAATAGAATACACCAAAATTGAAATCTTTAGCCTCCCTCAGCAAGTGGATTGTTCCCTCTGCTCATTTAGAGCGCTTCAGGGGTGTAGTATGATTACTATGGGTGGAACTGACTTGATTTAAACCACACTAATGGGGTGTTTTGTTGCTCAGCAGTGAGTTTGCAGCTATCTTTAGAGTACATTTTACGCTCTCTCACATTAAAAAGTCCAATAACAAGCGAAGCTCCCTTTTTAGTAGTTTAAAGATGTCACCTGATGCTTTTATTGCTCGATAATGTGGTTAGAGCTACGAGATATGGCTTTTAAAAATAAATTTTAAAAAAGTAGCATAAATTACAGAAGAAATAAAATTTCACCTGGTGGTTTGAAGATTCGGGATATTTCTGAGTGGTCACATAGCTGATATGACTACTTTTATTGCAGAACACTCTCAATAGTGCGCAAAAATAGTGCGCATTTTTCTAAAATACCTCCGAATCCAGGTCGCAGCCTGTTGTCATAGCCGTCCAGAAGCCGGTCCAAAATGCGAGTGAAATTCTCCGGATAGATCCTTTCATCCTTTTTTGTCTGCGCAGAGATTTTCTTCATACTATGAAGAAGAAGAAGAAGAAAATCGGGATACTTGTAAGTTGAGGGCTGAAAACACAGCTCGGCGGCAGGTTTCAGCACCGCGGACAGAGACTCACCAAGTCAGCAAACAGAAAAAGTAGAAGAGGGTCCGAGTAAACGCGGGGCGCATCGCTGTCACCATCTCCTTCTTCTTGGCAGAAACCATCCTTGCATGCCATACTTCAAGCCTCTTCACATCTCACCACCACCAGCACCAGCAGCAGCAGCACCACTACCAGCGGCAGCAGCTGCCTGTGTCCCGGAGTAAAAAAAGGGAAAGAGGAGCAATAGGCAGGGAGCGACACAGGGCAGAGCGGCGCAGAGAGGAAGAGGGAAGTTGAGAGCCCTTTTCCTCCCGATCCTGCAGTCTCTCTGCCAGGCGCGCAACACAAACTCACACATGCACGTGCGCACACACACAAACACACACACACACATACGCGCACACACCTTCACCCCAAGCCCTGGTCACCTCTGGTCCGCATCTAAGCTGCTCTGCTGCTGCTCAGCACCCAGGCACACAAACAGTCCTTCCCCTCTCTCGCTCTCTTCTTCACTCTGTTTGCTTCAGTGTCTTACTTCTTTCTCTCCCTCCTCTCCCGCTTTCTCTCTCTCCTCTCTCTCTCTCAGACACACACGCGCGCACCTCCTTTGGTCAGGACACAGATTAGACGTGCGCTGCTTTGAAATAGCTTAAGCTCACAAGAGTCACATCTCTGACTTCACCCTGCTGTCAAAACTGGAGAAGCAGGAAGCAGAGGCTTTCTCCATCTCCTCAAAGCCCATCTCAGCCCCTCCGCCTCCACCCATCAACATCTTTTTGCATTCAGTTTCCAGCTCTAAGAAAAAAAGTGTACTTTTTTTAGTCACCAAATCTCCAACAAATGAAGATCTTCTCACTCTGACCTCAGCATCGCTGCTCTGTGACAGTGTCACACGCAGCCTATAGCCTACATGTTGAACTAGTTTCAGGAATGCAATGGTGAGCGCCTGTATTAAGATTCAAATGGGTCAGTCTTGTCGCAATACGCAATCACACACACACACACACACACACACAAAGGCACACAGGTACTGTAGAGGAACTGGGACAAGCCACATGCTGCTTCACAGATTTCTCTGCACCTGGGACAAGCACAAGACCTTCACTTGTGTGTGTGTGTGTGTGTGTGTGTGTGTGTGTGTGGAGCTGAAGGTGAAGTGCGGGTAAATCTCAGGATAAACAAGATGTCTGGGTTCCACCACACTGGCTTTCCTGATTAGTTTTGAAGTGAACACGCACACACGCACACATGCACATTTTACTTTTTTAATTTTAGCTGAAACAGAAGCCACTTAGTGCAAAGCAAAGCTGAAGAAAAATCATGTAGATATATTACATGCAGGCTGAAGTCATGCAGTCTTATACCGCAGCTCCCAATCCCCTGCACAGCCGCCCACCCCAGCCCTCCCACAATACACTAAAGCAAGGCGGCTCTGTGGGGGATGAGTAATACATGTGTTCTTTGTGGGGCCCGGCTTTCGTCCAGCGTGTGTGTGTGTTTTTTCCTTCTTTCTTTTTAGACATTTTATTGCAGTTTGCTCTTTTAATGGAAGCACTTTGGACATAGGGTAAAAAAAGAGGTTGTAACAATATTCATTCAGCAAATGCCTCAAAATATGAGATGTAGAGTTGTAGGAAAAGTCACGTTTGCCTTATTATGCAATGATGACCTTTTCCTGTGAGTATGGCCAGTGTTTAAATTACTGTGCTTGGTGCATCATTGTGTCAACATTTGTGCCCTTAACGTACACACACACACACACACACACACACACACACCCTAAGAAAATTGCAAGAGGTCTCTAATTTAATTTTGGTTATTGGACTCTCCTGTGGGTTGTGTGTTTTGTGCACGTGTGTTTACCTCGGAAACTGTTTGCCCTGTGATTCCTTGAAACTGTTTCTTCTGCTTTGTAAGCTATATGCCCTGCAGCAGCAAAAAACTGCGACAATAACCCAGTTTTTTAACAGTGTGAGCGCATGTGTGTGTGTGTGTGTGTGTGAAGGAGGAGGGTAGAGGAGGAGCGATGTGGCTCTGATTGTTGGTCAGTGTGTGTGTGTTGAAAGCGGGTTGAGGGGCATGCCAACAGAGGGTCATTACATTACCTCCTGTAGGAGCCGTGCAGGGCCTGCTGGCAGCCATCAGAGAGTCCCAGCCCGATGACACGCGCACACACACACACACACCTACAGCTGCTGCGGCAGGGCTTGTTAACTCAAGCTCAGCACATGTGAAAGACTGCTGTCTTCACTGTGTTTCACTTAATCTGGCAGAGTGGTGAGATCATACAGTAATTCTGTGCTCTTTTCTTACAGTGGAAAATGACATTTACTTACTTAGCACATCGCTGTTACACGGTATCAACATGTAAAGCACCACAAAAAATCACTTTCACTCCATAAGAACTTATATGACCATTATTACTCATATCATGTTCTCTGCATTACAGAGAACATGATCGGTTAGACAGTTATTACCTCGTTTCTTCTCCTTGATTTGCTTTCCTTTCTCCTCTTTCCTGTCTCAATTTCACTTCCTGTTTTATTTTGAAGGCTCCTCACATGGCTTTTACTTTCCTGTTTTGTTCTTTTCCCACCCTCCCTAGCATCTGAGTCTACCTGTCCCTTATTGGCCTTCACTCTCTGGTGTGTATCAAGTATTTTGTCGTTTCTCTGCCTTGTACCTCCTTGGCTCCTCTGTCCCCCCATCCTCATGCCTGTGCTCCAGACAGCAATTTCACTGCACCATGCTGAAGGATGTTTCAATTCATAAAATGGATCTGGAGGACAGTGGATTGAGAATGGAGGAGCTGTATTTCAGTTGTATCCTCCGTGGAAGTGCTTTTATACGTCATAGATAAAAGAGGCATTGTACACAATGTTTCTGTGTATTCATAATTTATTTCAGTTATTTAAAATGATTCTGCTCTTTGCTGTGTGTGTGTGTGTGTGTGTGTGTGTGTGTGTGTGTGTGTGTGTGTGTGTGTGTGAGAGAGAGAGAGAGAGTGTGTGCGAGAGAGAGAGAGCGAGAGCGCGAGAGAGAGA